GGTGTATGTAGTGGGAGGTGTCATGATGCCCTGGCAAAAAATAAACAAACAAAAAATTGTCATTGGAATTTGTCAGACCTGGACTCAAATCTTGGCACTGCTCCTTCCTACTCATGCAACTTTATCAGAGCCTGGTTCCTGATCTATGAAAATGGACACAACAATGCTTCCCTTATAAGTACAGAGATAATATGATGTAGAGCATGCCTCTTATTAAGACATCAGGAAGGCTGTGTGAGTGGAGAGGGCTCTGGCTGATGTTCCTTTCTTGGTCTGTGTCATAGTATGCTGCTCTACACATGCAGGAGCTAAAACTGGGACCTTGACTTCCTATCACTGTGTTGGTGGAGAGATCTACATTTCATTTTTATTTCACTTTATTTGGACTTAGGATATTATAGAAAGAAACAGAACACATCTTTCTCTTTAATGGAATGGCATTGGAGACACGGGCTGAGGAAACAGCGAGTGGGAGGTGTTCCCTCTCCTTTCATGGGGAGAGACTCCGTGAAGGCTTGAGTGGATCTGGGAATGTTTGCTGATCCTCCTGCAGACACAGAGGGACTCCTTCCTATCCCATCTTGGAAATCTCAGAAGCAGAGCTTGAACTTCAACTACAGACACACTTTTTTTTCAATTGACTTAAAATCTGATCTGTGAATCCTGAACTAAAAGTCAGTTGAGATTTTTCAGTGTCGAACATAATGTCTGAAATATTTTCTAAAGAAATCTTGTTGGAATCATTGGCTTATCTATTTAACACAACTTAGTGAGTACCAATCATGAGTCAGACACTTTGCAGGTTGCCAGGACATAAAAAACAATTAAGGTGATGATCTTGTGCTTAAATGATTTCTAGCTAACAAAAGAGAGGGAAACGAATGTGTGCAACAAAGAAATTCATCTCAGTGTTATTTGGGACTCAGTTTCCGATTTCCTAATGCATAACAGGAAATAATGGGATTCTAGGTCTACTAAAAAAAACACAACTCAGATGACTCAATACATGCAATTGATGACAGAGTAATTTCCTTTGTTTCAATGATAGTCTATCCATTTGGAAATGAATGACACATGCTGATCCTTTAAAAAACAGTTTTATTGATATAAATTCACACATGATACACTTCCATAGTTGTCGCTTTTAAAAAGAGTTGCATATACAGCATCACAATCGTGCTCCCTCCCCACTCCCACATTCATTGCCTGCTCCCCAATTCCCCTCCCTCTCTTCTCCATCCCCTGTCCCCATCAACCATGGCATCAGTTATTGTCTCCTTCTGTGCTTCGGAAACTGGGAAACCCACCAGAAACAATGAAAACAAAACCAAAATAAAACAGAAAGAAGAAGAAACAAAGACAAACATAAAGAGTCAGAAAGAAAAGATCACTAACAATATTAAAAACACCAGAGAAGAATTTTCTGTCGTGGAACAAGTGAGAAATATTTCAGCCTAGAGTAAATTCAGGTTGGGTCAAGAGGGAGGTCAACTGACAAAGTATCATATTATACCATCGTTTGATCCACCATAATTAAGTTTACTGTAATCTCTGTCTGATAGTAAAGCTGTTTGATACATACTAATCTTAGGTCTTGAACTACCTCGTGATATTTTACTATTAATTTCGTAGTGTAAATAAATGGTTGGCGAGAGCAGCTCTTTGTCCTTTATAGGCCCTTCTTTGTACAAAGAATTTTATAATGTTTTCATTAGTCCAAAGTATTCATAAATTTTAAAGGTTTTCTGAAATTAAAAAGTAGTTTTATTGACATGTAATTCACATATCATATACTTCCATAGTTCACTTATATCAAAAAGAGTTGTAGAATCATCACAACAATCAGTTCTCTTCCTTTTTGTACTCATCACCAGCTCCACACTTCCCTCCAACCTCCCACCTGAATCCCCATTAAATCATCATGCAGTAACTGTCTCTATAGTTTTACCTATTCTGGATTTCATGTACTGGAAAACACATGCACACACAAGATAACAACAGCATCTGGAGTCTTAGAGACTTGTCTTGAAACAAGTAGCCCTCTACGGGAGGCAAAAACAAACTCCACGTGGAAGAAGTAAACCAGCCTGTGTGATCCAAGAATGATAAAATCTAATTCCAATGGAGGGAATGGCGTCAGAGCTTAAATTGTGAACACCCGATTTGCAATAGTCAGTGTCCTTCTGTGATTTCACAAGGGCAGTTTTATCCTGCCCTAAAGGGTCTATATGTGTTGACATTGACTCGATGGCAGTGAGTTTGAGTTTGGTCTGCGATTTACTCTATTGAAAGGGGCAAAGGTCATAGACACACAATAAACACAGGTACATCAAACACTCAACTCAATAAGAAATGAACCCACCACAACTTTGCTCAACCTAACCATTGGGCTGTATCTGCAATTCCTTCTTTATGTTCTGTGTAGCCGATGCGTGTCCTTAGCCTCCTCTCACTTCCTATTTCGCTCAGGCTACGACAGAGTGCACATATGACACTTGTCTGGGTATTATATCAACTCAAGGAGATTGAGCAAGAGCAAACACATGCTCACAGCACGCAGTGTTCTGCTGCAGGCAAGGGAAGGCGAGCACGCTCTTCTGAACCAGTCCTGCTGCTGTCTGCCCCAGCGCTTGGCATCTTCAGGTGACATCAAAACAAGGAGGTCCCTTCAAATTCTGCTTCTGCTCTACAGAACCAAGTGTGCTCTCCTGTTGTGGTGGGAAGCTGGGAAGGTTACCAGAGGGAAGAGAGGGGCCAGTGAAATCTGAATGTCAGCTAAAGACTGCCTAAACATTTACTATCAGTCTGTCCCAAGAATTAACATGGGGCATGCTTATGTCACAAAAAGCTCTTTATAATATGTTCCCCAAATCCAATTTAACTCTTGTTTTGCATTCTTATTTGCTAGATACAACTCTAGGTGTTGAGAAAGAATCTTTTTACAATGCTAATATTTATATATCCGTGAAGTTTAACCCTGTTTCTTTTGGGTCTAAAATAAACCAAAACCTGTGTGTTTTAGGATACAGGTTACATCTGTGTGTAAACCCTGTCCAGGGCATTTGGTACATCTTACCTGCTCACACGTGGAAGCTTTAGAATGATTAAATGATAAATATAAGATGACTACCCGGCTGTTCACTTTGCTCTCATCCCCTGTCCACAGGGGTCTCGGGTCTCTGAGCTGTATTGTGTCATCAGTTTTTGTTGTCAATCTCCACCTAAGAGTTTATTTCTCTTTCATCTCCAACAGGTCATAGGCGTGACAGCACCTTCTTCCCAAGTCCAATGTCAGTATTTTGCTTTTGTTAAATATCTCACAGCTACTGATTTTTCATGCCTAGAGTTGTCTTTTATTGAGTTTTAATGTCAGATTCTGTCTTTTTCACAGGAATTGAATCTACTCACACGACGATTCAATTGGAAACTTGTAAGAGTCCCCCTCCCCCATACATCTGAGTACCCAGGGCCACCAGCAATGGTATTGTTCTACCATGTTGTTTCTATTGTCATGAATTTACAATCCAAAGTCTCAGATCTACTTCATAAGTTCAATTGAAAGAAACATTTCAGCGTGGAGATCTATGATCCAGTGAATTGAAGAAGAAATAAGAAACCAACATCGAGGTGTGTGTGTCTAAGTTCCACAAACAAACCAGACGAACAAACACATTGACTCATAATATATTGTGAAAAAGATCTTGTAATGCAAACATTTTGAATAATGAAAAGTTGATCGGTACCTAAGACTGGCACTGACTTTGTCTCAAAAGAACTATTCCCTTTTCTCATGAAGAGGATGCATCTGCAAATGGCCAGTTCTTAATTATTTGGGGAAACAGAAGTGATAGAGTGAGCACAGTCCACTCTTCAGCAAGGATCTGAAAGGAAGAAGTATCAAAGGCTTATATACTTATCACCTATGCGCAATATGTGTTTTAAATAAAAACATCAGATTGCACATGGAAGTGCCTGTGTTTGGTGATGGCTTGGTCTCCCTAAATGAAACTCACATCAACCTCCTACGAAGTCACTTGACTGGTGGTGGTCTTGGACTGCTAGACATTGCAGACTGGAAGTCAGTAGATAGGGAATTGTGGGACACAGAATAGGAAAGAGAGTGTATGCAGACAAGTTCTCCATTTGTACATAGGTTAAGGAGTTTGGGAGGGTGGGGGGGTCCCATGGAGGGAGACCCTCACATTTGTTGGAGATACGTTCCAGTCACATTCTCCTAAGTAAAAGTTACTCCCCATACTGTCCCCCCATAATAATGCCAATCTTTTAAAAAAATTAATCTTTTTATTGGGAGCTCTTATTGACATTATCACAATCTATAATTCACTTAGATCAAGCATAATTTTACAATTGTTACCACCATCAGTTTCAAGACATTTTCTTTCTTCTTGAACTCTTTGATATCCCTTCCCTTCCCTCCCCACCCCCCAGGAACCCTTATTATGATATATTGTTATTTTTTGCTGTATCTTACACCATTCCATGTGTCTGTTCACCAGCAATTCTGTATTCATTCCCCTTGAGTGGGGTTATACAGTCATCATTGCTATTAGCTCCCCTGTTTCCCCCATGCCAATCTTAAGGTGCTTGCAAGCACATGGTTGCTACGATAGATGCTTGAAGGTCAACTGCTTGAAGTCTTGTCTAAAGGTTGTCTGCCATCCAGAGCAATCAGACCCTATTGTCTGTCCCACCCTCAGCAGGGCCCACTCCATCTTGATTCTAGAATCAGCCCATCTTGTTATGTATGTACCTTCCTGTCACATGTATGTATACCTCTAGTACCTCCCCTTCCTATTGCATATATACTCCTAGTTCACCCCCTCTAATACAACCCCTTCTTGTCACGTTTGTGCTTACCGTGGCTTGAGAGAGTACACTATGGCCTCATTGTGGTTCCGGTCTCCATCGGAAGAGGTGAGCCCTGGCATGCCTTGTCTCATGTCTCTTTAATTTACCCCTCAATTACACAACCACCCCCTTCAGACCCATCAGGATGCGGGGCTGGGTCCCACAGGGAATCAACATCTGCCATTGGTTTGCTTGCTAGCTTCTTTCTATCTACCTTTTGTTGAAGGTGATAGCAAGCAATGACCAAAAAGCAGGAAAGAGAAAACGAAGAAAAGACTCAGAATTTCCACAACTAACAAAATTTGAATAATGGAATGCAGCTATAAAGATGTCATGGAAACATTTTCCAAATAAGAAAATACTGTGGGAAATGTAATCTTCACTACATCCTCGATGCTGTATGGAATATTTCCATGATGAGATGTTGACCTCCTATGAACTTGTGTTCTGGAGATTAGATGGGAAAGGGTTTCTCAGACTCTTTGGGTGTCTTTAGGAAAACAGTCAGGATTATTCGGGAATGGAAGCCTTGGTTTTGAGGCTCGCTGGTGAACCTAACAACCAAGAGCAACCAGCAGGCAGTCCTTCACCGAAGCCCTGCCAATTGATCTGTTGGGAGGGGAGATAAAGATGGAATGGCTATGCTTTCTAAGTAAGACGCTTTTAAAAACAAAAACAAACAGTTGCTATGGCGTCTCTTGCGTCCTGCAGTCTCTCTGACATGAGGAGCTTCCATGTGTGTCAGAGTAGAACTGTGCTCCATCTAGAGGATTTTCTCAGCTGACGGCTCTGGGCAATCGACTACCAGGGTTTTCTCTCTGGATGGGCTCACCCCTCCACCCTTCCGATTAGCAGCTGAACCCATTAATTGTTCGCACCAACCAGGGACTCATGAATCCCTGGGTGATCTGGGATCAAATTGGAATCACATCAATGAGAATCTTATTCATTCTAAAATTTTAGAGATTTGGATTGGGGTTGTAAAATGGTTGCATGTCTGATTGTAGCGAATTGACCTCTTCCTTAGAGCCTAGTCGCTGATTACAAATGATTGTAATGAAATTCAAGTGCGTTTGAGAACCGCCTCTGCACCGTATTCAGAAAGCTGCATGTGTCTTCCACATGCTGGCCTCTCACGCAAACCCCGGGACAGGCCTCCCCTGCTCCCAGGACTCTGTGGTCTGGTTCTTAGTATGCGGACGCCCCATAATTTAATTGATTCTGACTATAAGTATTTCAAGTGCCTCAAGTTGAAATTTGGCAAAACAGTTTTTCCTCTGGATGTGTTTTTGAGAAAAGCCTCTGTGTTATGTGCTCGGAATGCCCTCTAAAATGATACTGAAAAACAAACAAACCCACCATTGGACCAGCAGGTGAAAACCTTGCCTCTTAGGCGGCTTGACTTGTAGCAGCAAAGCCCTGGCTTTCTCCAGGACCAGGAATAGGGATGTTGTGAATGTCCTAATCCCTTCTGTCGCCTGTTGCTTACCATGAAGGCTGAAGGAGGGAAGGGGGCTCAGAGAAAGGCATTTGGAGGGAGAGGTGGAAAGGCCACAGGAGGGCAACCGGAGCTGCTCTCTTCAGTGTTTTGTAAGCTGCCGGCTTCCGTGATGACGCTTGAGAAGAAGACCTGGAATGAATCCTCTCCTAGGAGAAGCTTTGAAAGAGGCTGTGGTGGTGCATGAATCCTTGGGATACTGGGCTGGCCATAGTTAAATGTGACTGTTATTTGAACCTCTTTGATTTCCTGAGGCTGGTGAGGCCTGGGGCCACTTAAATTGCCTACAAATAACTCCAGCCATCACATGACACTCCTTTTCATTGAACATCTGTATGTTTCATCAGTACTACCCTTCAACGAGTTCAAGCCATCTGGCACACATACAAGAAAACCCACCAGGGAGCTGACAGCCTTTCTGCAATGAATACTGTTCAATGTAGGATTTTCAGCCTACACGTTTAGAAACATAGGGTTCCCCTCAATAGCCTAAGCATTAGAATCACCTGAGATGCTTTGTGGTCGTTATATAATCGTTTGTCAATTTGAGGATTAAGAGTGGAGGGGTGGAGTCTAGCCTGTCAATCAGATCATAGCCAGTGAGGCCTCTGTGTGGGAATGGCCTTTCTCTGAGGATTCTGGGAATTCCTGAATTTCCTCCTTGGAGGTGGGAGACTCTTTCTCTCTGCTCACTCCCTGAGAGACACTCTACTGACAAGACACATGGCAGTATGCTGATAGACCCCCTGCCCTGGGAACTGGAGGAGCTACGTGAAGACCCCTGTCAGTGCTGAGATGCTTTTACCACCACTGGATCGACAAGACTTTGCACCCATGGCCTGTGATTTTCCTGCATTCGGTGTCATTGTACGTGTTTCGTGAGTCTGAAGAGGACTTTATAGATTGGTATTGGACATATGGGCTAATATTAGATTTATGGACTTGATCTGGACTGGGCTGGGGTCTTTTCTCAATATTCAACTGCTCTTGCGTATAAAGCTCTTTCTGATACACATATGAATTTGCCTATGAATCTGTTTCTCTAGTCTACCCAGACTAACACACACTTGTTAAAGTTCACTCTGGACTCATCTTGTAGAGATTCTGATCAGGTTTGTCTCCAGACTCCATCTCTGCACTCCATGCACTCTATGAGTTCCACCAAACCAAACTCACTGCCCTCGAGTCTATGCCGACCCATAGCAACCCTATATAGACCCCCAATTGGTCTTTACTCTTGAAGTGTTATTTCTGGGTAATTGGATCTCTCACTCTCATTGCTTGTTTGAACTTACTTGACACCTGCCACTCAGGGTTCATGTTCCTCTTCTATGTAGCATCACAGCGTAATGTGTCAGAGAGCATCTGTGCCATTCCATCAATGTATTTGTCACTCTCGTTGAGCTATATTTCTACTTCCAACAGCAATCATAGTGCATGGCACATAGTCACTGTTCAGTACACATTTAATGAAAGCAAGAATGTTGCGTCTGGTTCATTTTCTGATAACTTTGGGTACTTGAACATGGCAGGGGTCAGTGTGTGCAGAGAAAGTCCTTGACCTCTTTTCTTTAGCAAAACAACAAGCCCAGATCATAGGTACATTTTGCATGAGTTCTCTCCTAAACTCGAATACTTATCTTCCAATTTTATATCAAATTATAAAATAGATGATGTTGTGAGATCCTTCTCTTTTGTTCTGCCACTGAAGCGGTTTGCATATTAGATTTCGTAGTGCCACGGACCATCTGGGAGCCTCCTCTGACACTCTGGTAGGATATGCACAGAACAGAAGATAATCCCCTTCTGAGCTCGGGAAATCCCACTTTGTACCCATCGTCTTCTGAGGTATTGTGATAGGTAGGTTTGTTGTGCGAACTTGGCCAATGAACACATGTGGGATTAATTGACGGGTGGAGAGATAATGGCTCGGTGAGCCTCGCCTTCTTTGTCTCTTGTTCTTTGATGATCCAACCAGTGTGCGGCTGCCTTAGCTTGTTCTCTGCTTCAATTTGCAAGCTACACTACCTGTGGGACACCTAACCCATGGACTGTGTTGCTGTACTTTGAGGTTCCTTCAGGACCTGCTTTGCCACACTATTGAAATATAATCGCTTGAGGTGGGGACAGTCAGACCCTGTCATCTGGCTGACTGTTGGACCTGCCTTGCTGTTTGCTGCCTGTGGCCAGATAGCCTGAGTTGCTCCACAGAGGACTATCTGCTGGCCTCAAGACCTGAAGGACTGCCAGTGTATTAACTGTCTCATGGAAGTGAGTTGCACTGAGCCATTTGTACTGCTTTATAGATTAACTGTTTATTTCTTATGTTATATCTATATAAATATATATACAATCATTGGTGTCCTGGTTTTGTTTCTCTGGAGAACCCTGTCTAACATAGGTACTTTAAATTTATTTGAACATCTGTTTTGTCTGTCTCTTGGTTAGACTGTAAACTCCATGAAGGTAGGAATTTGTCTCTTTCATTCACTGATGTATCCATAGCACCCAGATCAGAGTCTGGTCATATGTCATTTTCATTGTTGAAGATTGA